ACGTAATCAGTTAGTACCACCCCGGGTTTTCCCCACATGTCCGTGTCCAGTTGCCAGATTGGTTTCCCTACACACGTACAAGCAGACTCGTGGACACGAAATGCTCGGTGGAACGACGTATATGCTCAACTCAGTCCCTCGTGCGCGCCATGTGCTGGCCAGAGGGAAAGGGCAAGTCGGCATGTCACCGCAAAGGGCGGATACCTGCTCTCACTGTCGTTCGGTAGTCGTTCGCCCTGGAGCCAGTGCATCGACCTCCTTTTGCCATCAACTAACGCTGTGTGCCTCAAACCACCATGCTACACAAATACGATTCGCAATTGATCAGAAGTCAAGAGCATGTAACCAGGTCTGCCTCAAGAAATAGAGGATCATCCATCGTCGTGTGCCGGGCTCGATGCCACAGTCCCGCCGCCATGCGCCTTCTACCCTGCGCCCTTGCCATCAGAAGCTTGCCGTCTCGTTTTTTTTTTTTTTTTTTTTTTTTTTCACGGCCTCTGTTGTCAACCTTGCATCTCCATGGCTTGCAACCTCAGAGATTGCCTGGTGCTGCTGCTTTCTGTACTCTGTACTCTGGGCACCGATGGAAACATCACTCGTGGCACGCGTCTGACAGATGGAAGCTGCGTAGGGCCCCCAGACTGCACCTGCTTCCGTCCTGCGCTTTGTCTGCTCTCCTTCTGTACCCACCTAGGCTAGGTACCTATGTATGTCCCAAGGTGAGGCAAGGTAGGCAGGTAGGTAGGTGGGAAGCTCATGGACTCTTACCTCGGGTTCAGCCTCGCTTCTCTCAACAAAAGTCTGGCCCGGCTTCTGTATCTGCTTCTGTATAACTCCTCCCCCTCTTACCTCTCCTCCCACCTCGCCCTCTCCATCCCTCCACACCAACATAGTACCAGCATCTTTAGTTCGAAACGAACAAGCCCGACTCCTCTCTCATGGGTGGCTTCTGCTAGCTCCCATGTCGCAGGCCTCGAGGCACCGATCTCTGACGCCTTCCATCGAGATCCAGCACCTGACAGACCCCTCCTCTCTGTCCATCGACGGTTCAAGTCCCGCAGCTACAGCTCTGCCGAGGAGCTCACCATCACTGCCAACAAGTCAGAATCCAGCTCTTCAACGCCTTCCGTCAAGACGGTCGTTTCTGACGATACGCCTCTCCTGAGCGCAGGCATTCCAGACGCCTCCTCTGTCCCCACCGTCGAAACACTTCCAAACCCGGTCGGCACCAAACGTCAAATGTTTGCACAATATCTCAATTTCAACAGAGCTGCTACGGCTCGGCCAGAAGTTTCTGGAACAGAAATAGTGGCAGGCGACTTCGACAACACGCCCACCCCGAGTACCCGTCCATCATTTGAGGAGACAGTTGTTCTGGCCCCAGGAAAAGGCATGGCCTCGACCCTATCCTCAGCTTCAAAATCTGCCGCCGGCCATCGACATGCGCTGCTCAAGACCCAGCCCGGCCGGGCCATGGACGTGGACCGAGATCTCCCTGTTCCCCCTATTCTGAGTCGAGAGCCCTCTACCGATACGGTTCCGTTCCTGCGTGCGTATTCGCCAGAAACGTTCGAAGCGAAACCCATGGTAGCAGACGAAAGAGCACGCTCGCTCCGAGCTACAGAATCGCCGTCTCCTGACCGGATTCCTATCGGGCCGCCCAGAAACCCATACGATCAACAGGAGCGGCCATGCATCGACCCAACACTCCACACTACAGAATCACACAGAAAGGTGCAGCATCCCGGGCTTCTGAAGGGCGCAGACTTTTGCGACGCCGGCACGTCAGGACAGCTCGCTCAACAGACATCTCTCCCATCCACAGACTCGGGAATTGTATCGTCTACATCTTCAGAACCTGAGATCTTGTTGGTTCAGGTACAGCGCACACTGACTGGGGACGACCTTTGCCCTACAACCATACCCATAGAAATTCCAAAGCACGCTGAGCACAGCCGTGCCACAAAGGTTCGACCAGCTGCTGACCTCAAGCCCTTCTACCATCACGAGAATATCAACCAGGGGCAGCAAAGCCACCCAGCTGTGTCAAAAGTTGCTCCCTTTGATGCCTCGAGGGAGGAAGAGCACGTTTCTGACGCCCAGACCTCTATGGAGACTTCTAGCGGTGAAGACAGCCCAGACGTGCAAAATGCTCTTGTTCCGGAAAACGTCTCACGAAAGGTGTCTGCTGCTCCTCCAGACGGACGCACCGAAGCAACAGCATATCACCAACTCGAAGTCTCTGGAGTAAGCGTACCCTGCCTAGACCACCAACACATGTCCAAGGTACAGCCATTGCAAGATGACGCAGATGTCTCAAGCCAGGAAAAGTACTTCGCTATCGGGTCAGACGACTCGCTCCATAACGATGAATACAATGATCAGGTGCGTGCATCTCCTGCCACCAAATCCACGGCCACCAAGGGTGCAGCTCTCGATTACAGACGCACAGCGAAATGGCTCCGAGATTTACTGCTCAACCGTGACGGATACAGTGCAGCGTTAACTGAGCGTCCTGAACGAGCCGAAAATATGCCGCGCGGAAGAGACAGCAACGAGCGCACTGAGCCGCTTGCCACCGCGTCTGCTCGAAGATCTATGTCCCCTCGCAGTTTGACACGTGTATCCACGTTACCTCCATCGAAAATCGAACCCGGT